TAAAAATTTGATTAGAAACAACTTTGAAATAGGATCTTTGCACATATAATTAATTTAAAACAAGGTCTTATTGTATGTGTCCTCAATTTACCAAGGATGTCTTCTTAAAAAGAATAGATGGCACACAGAGACAGAGACACGTAGAGAAGGCCATGAGAGATAGAAGTAGAGATTGCACCAGTGAAACCCTAAGCAGAAGTATGTCACATACTGCTGGGAGTTCCCCAGTGTTGCGACAGACAAATACCATGTGGGCTTGGTGACTGGTAGGTGACACATCACATGGCAGGCAGTTTCCAGATCTTAGCAGAGGTAGCTCTTCCAGAGGTTCTGAAGAAGAAGGAGGACTATCTCACAGAAACTTTGGAGGTACAATGGCCCTGCTGACACTTTTATTATAAACTTGTGATCTTTAGACCTGTGCACATGCAGCTGGCTTTCAATCACCCAGAGGTGAACCCTCCATAGAGCACCCCGAAGTGTCATAGACAGAGCGCAGCATTTGCATACCCTGGCTGTACAATTAATCCAAGTAATCTATTACATCAGAAATCTTTATTTAGAAAACAGAAATCACTAGGAACAAAGTAAAAAAGTTGTGATAAAATAATTTAAAACATCACGAGCTCAGCTCAACATAAGTTCCACACAAGTTCTTACACCTATTTATCCCCAGGCAGACAGGAGACTCCATTTTCAGAATGACGACCCCGAAGCCCTCTATCACATTGTGAAATATCCCAACCTCCTCATTTCATTGTGTTCACTGAGCCAGGAAGATGGAATAATTTAGAGATTTACAGCCCCAAGAATTGAACTAAAATTAAACTAAAATGGATGTTCCTCTTAAAACTTTTGAGAGTTTTCTGTAAATCTGCGATTGTTGAGCTTTAATACTTTCTGTGTCAGTTACTGACTCCCTCTGAGAATGTAGACATTTTTTGTTTAAAAATATACACATGCATGTGTGCTTTTATACATGCTACTTCAGTTTGGTCAGAAGTTCCGTGATTATTAATCATAATATATTATACAGTCTCTAAGCAACTCTATTAGAATAAACATAAAATCAGCTCTTATCTCTAAATTGGAAGACAACAGCCAGTGTTTGTTTAATTCATTTAATTCATGCTACCAAAAATAGATTTCCTTGCTGTCTTAATTTATTTTCAACATCACAAAATCCTGGCTCTGCACTTTTCTCTGGAAAAACGTAAATTAGACTTTATTATAGGTAGCTTTATAACTTTAAAGAGTCTGCATATACTTGACAGAATGATTCAGATGAAAGAAAAGTATACTTTTAAGATAAGGATGGCCAGGAAGCCAAGGACGCTCTTGAGATAAACACACTCATGCTTTCCTCAGCTACTCCACATCCTTCAGTGGTGACTCCTGAAGGCCAATGCTGGATGCCATGCACTGGGATCCTTCAGGAAGAAAACTGACCTTTAATGCACATGGTGCCAATTTTTGATAATTGTTTCCACAGCATGAAAAATTCTCTATTGCATTGAATACATATTTCCAGTGAAAAATTTGAAAGCCAAAGCAAGTTAATTCTCTTTTTCCCCAAAGGTAATCAGAGCTGCAGGGCAGATGAACTGGAGACTCTGCTAATCAGGCACAAGGTTGACAAAATGGAGACAGTGTCATCGTGGGTGTGAAAGTCAGGAGGACTCAGAGACAATGAGCAGACAAAGCCCATCAGGCTTCATCGGTGACCTTAACCTTGCTTAACCTGCCAATACAAGCAAAAACTGTTTTCTGTTATTTCTGAATGAATGGCTATGCAGTATTTCAAAAGTGGATGTAGCCCTAATGAATCAGATGGAACTTATGAAGCCACAGATCTGGGGACTTTCCAAGGATGGGCCAGACGAAGGAACTGTACAACCGTGATCAGTTAAGTTTTGCTTTGCATCCCTGTTTGTCCTATCAGAGCCTTGCCCCTTCGTTTCCTTGCTGGAGCTCCTGAGCCATGCTTGGGCTGCAGCCCAGTTCATGTTTCCTCGAGCAAGCTCTTTAAAAATGCTATTGCATCAGTTTAGTTTGCAAACAGGAATGGCACTACAGAGATCACATCAATGGACAGAAATTACTAAGTCAATGTAAAACAAATTTTGAAATGTAGAAAAAATAACATCCTGTAAATAAAAACAGTGGGTTTGAGGAAAAATTACAATATGAGAATACCACTTATAAATTATAAACATATCATTATTGAAAAATAAGATTTTAATAAAAATGCAACCAAAATTTAATATTTTCAGGCTATCAGCTAACATCATGGTCAGTCAATCTTTACAGCCTTACACTTGGGATTTAGTGTTAGCCTAGAACCTGGAGGGGCTGACCTCTGGTGAAGTACAGTAGCATCAAAATTAAAATCTAATTCAGCTTTTCAGCAATCTACTTTAGGGCAGCAAAGTATTAATAGAATCTTCTGTGTATGTAGATCAGTCAGATGTGTTTGTGCAGTGAAAATTACAGGGTACTTAAGGGAGCCCTTTCTAAAGATTTTGTCTTTTTGGAGACATCTGGTGTTGAGAAAGATTCCTCTAAAATTTGAGGAAGATTTAATTGCTTCGAAATTTAACATAATGGGGAAAAAACCCAAATGACTTTTAAAACTTTCCTGACATCAATCTACCACTAATTCAATGGTAATCTAGTGATTTGGTACAAAGAAATACACTATTCTATAACAGATCTGAAGTCAATGCTCCGTATAAGAGAACTTAAATGGAAAGCCAAAGGCCAGGAACTGAAACTCAGAGATGCCTGGGTCTCACTGGGCTTCTGTTAGTAGCAAACTCCACTATAATAGTTAAAGCTTAGGAGTTCGTGACTATTTTGACACAGAGGTAGGATAAACCAGTCATGAATAAAATATTTCCCTTCAGTATCCTCCATTCTATTTGTAAAAAACAAACAGACAAAGCACTCATTAATTCTTTGCCTCTTTCCTCTTCACTTTACTCTGGGTATTTACCAGGGCTCCTTTCTGATTATGACTTTGATTTCTGAAGGCTGTACCACACAGCTATGCCTGCCACAGTGGAAGCTCGAAGTGTATTCCATCCTGGATAACCTTTGCTTTAAGAGGATATAATTTCTTCCTTCCGAAACACTAATATTCAACATTGAATCCTACACACTAATGTAAAAACATCTTTTTCATATATTTGCTTTTACTTATGAAAAAATATAAAATAATTAAAAATATAAAATAAGTATTTGAAGAATATTCTTTAGTAACTTTCCAAAATTTACTTCTTATTTCAAGATTCCCCCACCATTCTCATTCAAAAGTTATCATTTGGAAGACGCCTAGCTTATTCCAGAACTCTGTGTATGCTATACTATTTTCTTCCCCTCTTTGTACTTTAATCAGTGTATCTGTTTGTTTCACTTACCCTTGAATGGATCTTTATAGCACTCCCCACACAGTATTACTGTACAGAGTACAAGTTAACTGTTTTCTTGAGTGTGTCTTTCTCAGTCTCCACATATAGATCCAATAAAAACCTAAGATTTCTGGGAATTAATACTAAGGATTCAAACTGAAAACATTCAGCAGGATGGCACATGTCCACCTTCAGATTTCTTTCCAAAGTTTAGTGTTTTTTTCATTATCAATTTTTATCTCACAGTTTTCCAACATTAAGAAAGCAAACAGTAATGTTAATTTAAAACCTTGTATTTAGCAAATATCAGTCCCTAAATATCAGTTTTCTAACCTTCCATAGATAGAAAATTAGAATTTTATACAAATGTTCACCCCTAGAAAAAGAGAAATACTTTTTTCTCCATGGTAGCTTGTTATGAAGAATTTGTAGTTTTATGCTCAAAGACCTTTTTTTAATTAGCTTTCCCTCATTGCTGAGATCAAATACCCAACACCCAAGGTTAATATAGAAAAGGTTTATTGAGCTCACAGATTGTGGGTGTTTCAGTCCATAATCAGCTAGCTCCAAGGCAGAGTGGCACATGGCAGAGACTACAGTTCATAGGTGGCAGAGGACAGCAATATCAATGACGGACCTTAACCATGTCCTTCTGCCTCTTTCATAGTCAGTCTAGGTGCCTGGAATTAGGGTGGTGCACATCCAATCAGTGAACTGATCAAACACCTTAGATACTAGCATCATAAACTCTAGAATCATTTCCCATGACTGCATGAGGCTTTGGGGGGACATCCAGACACAAACCATGGCATGCTTATTTCTCAATTGAGTCCTTGATTGCTCAATTCTATATTTTTAAAAATGTGTCTTAAAGTATAAGTCAACTAATATTTCTATACAGAAAAATTAACCTAATATTCCCATTATTGTATATGTGAGTTCATATGGTCCCATATATGTCTTCATGTCTCTCTGTATGCATATTAATGAAAATTTCCATGAAAGCAGTTACAGCTTCTTTATATTCTACTATAGTTGAAGAAATTGTTCACAGATTTTTCATTCTGATTGGCTCATTTTAGCACACAGCTACATTCCATCTGGCTTATTTTTCAGTCATTTAGATGTCATTTGGTCAAAAAATACATTTATAAAACAAAACCAATTTTAATATTGGCTATAGAAAACAGAGATAGTAAAATTAGCTGAAGTTTCCATGTATAATATAACATAATATGATACAATATAATACAATATAAATTATTTACTCTTTAATACTCTTATTGGGGAGGTCTTTTTGAGACGTTTCACTATGCAGTACAGACTGGCCTTGAACTCTTTGCAGTCCAGGCTGGCCTTTAACTCTCAGCACTCCTCCTGCCTCAACCTCCCAAATGCTGGGATTACAGTGTGGGCCACCACATCCACCCTGCTCTTCAGCACTGTTAGCCTTAGGTTTCCACTCTATTTGTCTTCAGCTAAAAATCAAGTCAGCAGGTGCTCAAGACGCTAAATATGCGACAAATTGATACGTTTGCATGCACGTATTCTTGGGCTCACACAGTGTCTTCCTAAAAATATAACTCTTACCTCATTCTGAAGGTCTCGGATCATTTTGGTCTTTCTTTCCATTTCAGTTTTTAAAAAATTAATCTGAAAATGAAGAGAATATTGTGTAGATCCATGTATATTTATTGCCATGTCTTTTAAGTTTTTCATAATTTTGTTATATTAAATGAACATCCTTTACTATCAAACAGTGTAAAAGAACAAAGAATTAAATTTTTCATTCACTAAAACTTTCATTTATTTAAGTCAAACATATATTTACCAATTATGTAAAAATATCCTTCCTTGGGTAGTTATCATTTCTTTTTAATTGAAACATCATCCTTATAATGACTTTAATTCTTTAACTTGTTTAAACCTCATGTTTAAAAACAAAACAAAACAAAACAAAAAACAAAAAACAACAACAAAAAAAAAAAAAACGAGAGATTTGGGGAGTGAGTCTACTCTTACAACATTCTCCAGGTAATTCTGCCCGGTATCTGGATTTGAAAGCAGCTGCATAGTACTATTCCTAATCTCTGAAGTTTGGAACATGCAGTGCACATTGCAGAAAGGAAAACTTGACACTTTCTCTTGAGTATGTTGTCAGGATCTCTAACTTTAGGCCAGTTTTCCAAACTGTTTCACATAGACACAGCTTATCTGCTCTTGGTTTTACAAAGCAAAGGCTGTCTGCACAGGGGTTAGAATTTGCATAGCCTACACATTCAGTATACTCATAAGGGTTCACTGTAATAAAAAAAATAGTGGATGGAACAATTAACTTCTCTATTTTTCAATTTTCTAAGAGTCATACTCTTAGAATTAATAACAGAATGCAGGTGGAATTAACTTTTTCAATATAATAGAGTCAATATGGTCTAAACCCTACCCTTTGTATCCCATGCATATAGTTTTTGTTGTTGTTATACAGTGTCTTGAATCCAGGGCATCATGATGGTGAACATACAACTACTGAGCTAAACCTCCAGTCCAAATAGAGCATTAATGACACAAACTCACAATCCTTTTAAAATGCCTCTGAATTTCAGTGTGTGTTACATTTATAGCCCAAGTCAGCTGGACTACTCATAACCCTAACTCTGAGCAGCTTGCTGTGTGAAAGATTCTTTCACTGAAAAAGTGGCTTGCATTATGGGCTACCTCAGGACTGAGTAAGATATTGGGCCAGAAATTGAGCTTAAGGAGAAGTATATAGTCTTTTTAAAATGTTATTTCTCTTTTTATCATTTTTTTTCACTAGAGAGACAATATGGTATTTACAAATGTGAGTTTGACTTATTGTCCTTATGAGGATATTCTCAAGCTGCCTCCATTTACCTATAAAAGCCATAAGATCATCCTTTTTATAGCTATTGTATAAAAACACCACTTCTTTGTTGTGCCTAGATCTTGTAATCTGAACGACTACTTCTAAGATAGCAATATACACTATGTGACTAGTGGTAATTTCCTATTCTCTGTTTTGAAATTCTGTATAATTTCTACCCTTTTTTTCTGTTTTGCTTTTTAAAATAAACAAAAGTGTTGTTTCTGAAACACTTCAAGCACGAAGGAAACAATATATAATGATGTATAAAATGTTCTATGGCTCACACTAAGATTAAATGCACATAGTCTTTTTGTCCAACATTTTTCAGAATTTCCTTTCCATAAAAAATATTTTACATATCATACGGTTGATACATTGCATCAACTTGAGAAGTTCAGAAGTTACATTTAGAGACTCAGCAGGAAGCCAGGGTCCCTACTTTGTAAATTAACTCGGCCTGTGCAAGAGGAGGGCACAGAGGTGGTTTGAGTGCTGCACTCAGCTTGGGGAGTGACTTGCTTACAAAATAAGGGAGGAGAAGAGGCTTGTTCTTCCCCCTTTTTTCTCTGACTGCTGCCCTGAAGTGTTGCCCCTGTGCCATGCCTCTCTGCCTTACAGCCAGCTGATTATGGACTGAAACCGCCACAAACAATGAGCTACATAAACTTTTCCTTCTTTGTTTTGTGGTACTGGGTGTTTTGTTTCATCCACAAGAGAAAAGTCACCAAGACAGCACACTATTAAAGATTCATCTATAGAATACAAGTGAATTCTTGCACCTTAAATCTTCAAGAGCTACAGCCACTCCGGATCCACATGACAGCTTTGTCACAACTCCCACGTGATCTTGGCTTCCCACAACCAGTCAGAACCCTTCTGACACCTGCTTTTTGTGAATCGTGACCTCACCTTTCCTTCGTATGGTACTGGAAACCCAAAGCAAATGGTCTAGATGTCAATGGAACAGGACATATGAGCTAGGAATAGCCTGAGGGCTACGTTCCCTAATATGCTGGCCATAATAATTTCCAAGTAAGTTTGAGCTAAGAGGATATAGAAAACAACCCGAATCATTTCTTGAACTTACTGCCCCATTAGCTAGAAAGTTCTCGTTAGATGATCAAACCAAGCTGTTAGCAGGAAGGATATGGCACCATATAAAATGACATGCTTGTAGACTACCCACCTCCCAGTAGATAGATTTCATACCATTTCTGCAAAGAATTTATGGACTGAAACCTACACAAACAGTGAGCTATATAAACCTTTCCTTCTTTCTTTTGGTAAATTCCAGATTTATTTATAAGTCATGAATTAGTGGATGCTACTTTAATTATATCAGTAAATTGCTCTCACATATTGGTACTATTCTGTAGAAACTGGTCATGTTTTACAATTCACCACACTGAAAATATACTTCACATCTCTGCAATTCTTTAAAAGTTGAAAACACATGTAACAACTTGAGAATGAGAAAGTTACATATTCAGAATCTATATTCAGAATATTTAAAAAGTATAAGCATTTTGATTCTACTATTTTAGAATCCCAGAATTTTTTATAATCCCTGGGGAAATAAGCATTCCTAGCAGAAGGTCAAGAAGTACTTCTTATACAGAGGAAATATCATGTATATAACTTCCAATAAAGGACATAAGAATAGTAATCCTTTCTTTGTAATGAAAGTGAAATCATTAGGCAAATTTCGTCTTTGACTAAGTGTCTCACTTAGAATAAGTTAAGCCATAAACATTAACAGGAATAGTTAAATGCATCCAATGATCACTAATATCTGTAATTATTCTGCTTACACTTGAGCAGCTTCTCCATACCCTGTTAGATATTTTCCTGAGGCACATGGGTTTTAAAACCTGTCACTCTACTGTATACTTAAAAATGAAAAAAAAAAAAAAAAAAAACAGTTGTTGCCTTCTTCATAAAGTGTAAGTGGACACAGGTTTAAATGAAGACAGATGCATGGGTGTCATGGTATACTTATTCGGGACAGTACCCTCATTTAGAAATGTATCTTCTTCTGTATCTTTACAATTTAAAAGGAAAAATGGTGCCTCAAGCATTGTACTTTACATTTCACCAATTCGGATGGTCATTTGAAACATCTATTACAGAAAATATATTTTTATTTTTCTGAGAACAGATATATAGTAAATTGATATTTAAAAAGAATACCATAAAAACTATGTAAATAAATCCAAAATACCTCATTCTTTGCAGGGTGAAATCCAAAATCTCTCCCCCTTTAACAGGGAACAATCATAATTCCTTTTATCTTTTCTTTAAGTACATTTGTAGTACATAATAATTAGATTCATCTGGAAGAGTTAGTGCATGTACAAAACATATCTTCATTCTCTTTCTGGTATAAAAATGCATTTACTATTATAGTCTTTCTAGCAGAGAAAATAATTAGTGGAAGATTTACAAAAATGAAAATAGTTTAAGTAAATATTAACTGAATCTTAGTTCACTTAGATTCTTCAAATAGGAAGAAAGATTACACATTACTATATTTGAGGTTTAACTCATACCTTCAAATTATGAATTACTAATAAGAAATTCTTGTTCTCCTACGTGCTTCTAATTGCATATGAAAAAATGGAACATGTATGTATATACTTGCATCTGTGTGCTATGCATGTACATATATATGTCATTCTTTTGAAAGTAACAATATGCAGTATAACAACCACTGTCAAATTCCTATCATCTTGTTTTGTAAGCGTATACTCTTATTGTTTTGGGTTTGTTGTTATTATTGTTGTTTGTTTATCTCTTTTGCTTTTTGTTTTTCTTTCTGTGATTTTTTTCCTCTGAAATAAAATATATATGTATATATATATATATATGTCATTTCTGCTTCTTTTAAAAGTTGCTGTCATCTCTTTCTGGACTGAGTGGTAAGATATAACTCATTCAATTCAAACATAAAATGCATTTTTCTAAAATGATCATTATGATTTCTTTCATATGTAAATGCTTGCATTTCTTGATCATGATGTATATTTTGTTGATATACTCATGAATTTATTTATTCAGGAACTTTTTTTGTCTATATTCTTCCCCTGAAATATCACTAGGAGTGCATTCAGGTCTTTCTTTACTTTTTGATCCTGGAATCACAAGGTCACACACATTAAAAGAAGAGTTTTTCTTTGTGGGTGTGTTCCAAAACCCACAAGAAATGTAAATATTATTCTCTACAAATATGTACTGTTAATAGTAATTAAAAAACTTATTTCTCTTGTTGAAACTTAGAAGAAAGTATCACTTTTGGTACAATGAAATTCTAAAATATAAGCCTATTAAATGCTGTATTTCATGTTTGAGAAAATTTAGAATTTTATATTTAAATGTTTGCATTTTGAAATTTTAAATGGACAGTTGCTCATTATATTCTTATTAGTTTCCAGTATGAATGTGGCTATTTTCCCTTTTGTACTAAACAAAATACAAGTTCCATCTTTATATTTTTGAAGATGATTTTTATCATTAACTAAATTTATCAACTTTTGCAAAAGCAAAATATGACTTTTAAGATTTTGTTTGCATGTTTCCTCTCTCTCTCTCTCTCTCTCTCTCTCTCTTTCTCTCTCTCTCTCTCTCTTTGGTTCTCTTCTGTTTGTTTATTTTGAAGCTGGATATGAAACCTGTGGCCTTGCCGAAGGTACACATGTATTCTGGCACTCAGAGGCAGCCCCACTTTCTGTCTATCCCTGTGACTTCTTATAGTCTCTTGTCTACCTGTCATAAGTCTCTTTTCGCTTTTTATACTGAATTTGCTATTTTGTGTTTTAATCAGCTTGTCCAATTGTATTTTTTCTTCTACCTTTCCTGGAAAAAAATTACTTAAAGCAATAAGTGGACCTACTGTGTATGACCATGGCATAATGAAAATCAATTATTTTCATTATTAATTGGTCCTAAATGTGTCTTAATGCTGTAATTATTTCGTATAAATGCAAAGTTATTTGAAAATATGTTGCATATTTTACAATTCAGAATTATTTCAGATTATAAAATTATTAATTTTGCTACAATAATAGTGAATTAATAGTTACATCTGCTGTTAATGTCATACTATTAATATTCTTGAATGTATCAACCTTCAGTAGATACTAGTCCATATAACTTCTGTGTTTTCAATAAATATGCAAACATTATTGAAGATTCCTTATGTGGATATGAAAGCGTGAAGCCCTCAATTATATTTTCAAAACATTAAGTGCATATGTCCTTGCATTCTCATTGCTAATGGGTTGATAGATGCTGAACCTGCTTACATAGGTGAAGACATGCATAAGTTTACTTTTTCTTTCTTAAGAAGTTGTTGATACAGGACCTACCCTATCTATCAAAATGAGGCCATGTCATGTTAAAAGAGAAAATAAATGATTGCCTCTAAGCAAAAAATTGTTAATATATAAAGTCTTCCCTTTTTATATAAATATTCCTTAAATTCTGTTAGTATGTGAGTAATGACTATTGTTATCAATTCATTTTATTATAATGGAGTTTTGCAAATACATCCTTACATTACTGATCTTAAATAAGATATAGACTTATTCAGTCCTTCACTTGTCCAGGCTGTGATCAAATGTATGGTCATCCTGACTCAGTCACTCAGACTTAAGGCAACCGGAGCTGCCCCTTTCTGCTCAATAAGCCAGCTTAGGAAATGCTTTCTGAAGTTTGTTACTTGGAATGTTCTAGTGGCTACTCTGTGTTATTGCTCTAAATAACTTCTGATTTTGTCATCAGATGAGGGAACATCTAATGTGGAGTGAGGTGATTCTGGTATTACTTCACCTCAATTACCTAGATTTCCATTTCTATTTAAATGCCTGAGATTCTATGTAGATTCTGTTTTTACATCTTATATTTCTAGTAAATAGATACAATATATTCCAAAATATAAACTATTTTAATTTTGCATTACACAATATATACACAAACATATTTGCAGGTACTTATCTGATGAGATAAGCATATACAGATGAATGATTTTTAAATTACTTAAAACATTGATGGGAGAAAATAGAATTACTAGTGTGCTGTTAAGAAAATGCAAGTCAAAGATAAAAACTTAGTAGATAAATTTAATATGAAATTGAAACAGCACTATCATGATTATTAATCATTCAGTTTTATGTTTGATTCCTTTAAATGCAGCATCTGGAACTCTGGAAATCTAACTTGAATCTCAGATAATTTGATATCATCTTTTAAGAACAGCTTTGGAAATCCATGAAGTAGTTTCCAGAAATTGCTGAACAATATGACTGCATAGTGACGCCTGGAGAGTTGAAAAATTAGAAAATTCTAGATAATAAACAATATATATCATTTAAATCTCTTTTTTCAGACACATTCTTACCCTTGAAACTCTTACTGTGATGTGAACAGATACTGGAGGATTTAAATGGTTATAGAAATAGCAATCATGATGATGTTGATGATGATGTATAATTCTGAGAAATAAAGTGATACACACATTCACTCAGCCAAGCAGCACTACATATGAAATTACAACGACAGTCAGAGTGAAGTGGAATGACGTTACCTCAATCCCTATTCTCTTCTAACACCAGATATAATTTAGGAAAACTACTTTTGATGCTTTAATGAGATTCAATTCCCTAAAATGGATAACTAAGGAAACTGCAAAATTTAAAGAACCTGGTCAAATTCACAAACTAAATTTTCCATGAGGAGTTTTAATGCAGAACCTGTTATTCTGAAACACATGCTAAGCTGAGCTGCTATAGGGAGTTTTCAGTTGAGTAGAATACTTGGGGGGGGGGCAGAAATCCTAAAATCTCTGCACTGAAGCCTCAGTATTCACTGCAAGTATGCTAAGAAAGAGGAAACAGTAGCTAAAGCATCCTGCCTCCTTCCTCTTCTCAAATGAGAATTCTGTGCCCATGATAATTTTCACAATTGGGCATTTAACTAACATTTTTGACTTACGCCCTTCAAAAGTTGAAATTCCTTTTGGATCTTAGTTCTTGTTATGTACTCTAAGCTTGAGTTTGTGCTTGGTTCCTCTGGGAACCAGCAGAGGTGAACATATGCTGGAAATGCTCCCCTCTCTGAATTATTATTTTTTAGGAGCAAAATAATAAGACAACATATTCAACTATTAAGATCCAAGAAAACAGTGTATAAAGAACTTCTACTCTGCTCTTACTACCAGCATTAGCATCACATTAAAGCTGGATCCAATAAGAACCAAATTGAAGGTGATTAGTCAAGACCTCCGCATTGATTTCCATGGCAGCTGCACTGATTGTGATCCCGACCAAAAGTGCATAAAGTTCCTTCTCCTCCACATCCATGTGACTGAAAAACCATAGAGTAATTTTGAGGAAGCAGAGTATTGATTTCCCAGGCCCAGAGCAAAAGGACAAAGGAAAATACACTTACAGTTGCCTGATGTTTCTCTGCTTTCTCTGATGTCTCTTTAAGCTGATTTTGCAAGGACTCCTGGAGAGACTTCATTTCTTCTCTAGTTTAGTACAGAACAAAGAGCAAAGGGGAGATTCAATATCATGCTATTATTCTCTGTGTACATTGCTATCTACCACCACTTAAGAAATAGATAACCAGAATTTTATAGAACAACAGTTATGCAAACAAATTGTATCTAGATACTCTGGTAATAAAGTGCCATGTGGCCCAGGCAAATTATTAAATGCAAGCTTTATTTAAAGGAAATTGCTCTGCCCTTATGCTTTGTAAGAATCCCACTGTGTGAGTCATCTGTGAGCCACATAATGTGTTAAATCAAATCAACTTATTAATTTGGGCTGAAAAGCTAATTTGGTGGGTTGCATGCCAGGGTGTGGACATGCTGGTTAGGAAAAGTCACAACAGGCTGGATGGTAACACAAAATTATCATTCCCTTCTGGTGTTTCTAGTTGACTAATTCTGTAGCACTGTGTCCTTGACATCCAAGGCCCAAGCATGTTCATAACAGCAAAGGAAGAAGAGACATTTATAACTTGAAGGCCTCTTCATTCAATGGTCACAATAAAGAAAGCATTGCCACCCATAGATACACATTGTGGCTCATTCTCACTAACATACAAGTATATGAACTCTGTCTCCTTGGTTGAAAATGGCAATATTTTCTTAAACTGGTTATCTTCTTTTTTCACTTTTTTTTTTATTTTAAAGAGAATAAAACAAAAGAAGACAGAACAAAACAAATCAGAACAGAATAATGCAAGCAACACATCACTTCACAATAGGACATCAGCAGTAGCTAACATAATGTCTCTTTTCTTCGAAATAGTTGAGCATTCATTCACACACAATAATACAAAACATAACAAAATAGTATAACACCATTCAAAAAAATGAAAGCATTACAGGACTTTAAAATCAAATAACAGGAAATGAACAATGGCTACAATAATATCTCATTTTCCTTAAAAATTTGTCTATACTATCACAGATAATAAAATCAAATAAAACTCAACATGATAGAACCAATCAAAACAGAAGAACAAAAACATGATAGACTTCAAAACAAGATGACAATAAATCAGCAAGGGCTACCATAATGCCTTATTTTCTTCAAAATAGCTGTTCATACCATCACACATAATAAAATCAAACAAAACAGAATAAAACCAGTCAAACAAATAAATGAAAGCAATATAAGGCATCAATGCAGTATAATAAGAAACCATAATTACCATAAGATATCCCATTATATTCAAAATAGCTACCTCTACTATCTGACAGCATAGAATCTAACAAAACAAGGCAGAACAAAGCTAAATTTAACCAAACTGTGTAAACAATACAAGAGTTCAAAGACGATAAGAAATTGACAGTAGTTTCCACTTTTCCCTCCCAGGTGTTTCCCCTTTTTTGCTCTTATATTAACTATTTTGCTTATGGACCCCATTAACTCCTTCTGTTTCTTATGCTAGGGTTTGTGCATATGAGTTCAAACTGTTTCACACATGAACATGATCTCCAGTTGTGTCCATTTACCTACAGAAGCCTTGATTTTTCTACTTTATAGTTGGGTAGCTTTCCACTGCATGAAAACCATATCTTTCTTACCCATTCTGCAGTTGATGGGCAAGTTATTCTTGCTTATTTATTTATTTATTTATGTCTCCTGCCACATAGAGTAATTATTTTCTTTCCTTTGATTTTCAGTCTAGGAATTTCCTTTCCAGTTAAATGTGTTTCTTGTGTACATTGTTTCTTGATTCAAAATCCCTGTGTTTCTTTTTATTGCGACCTGAGGCCATCTACATTAATGGCTACAACCCGCATACTTTGGTTTGTCTCTGCCCTGCTATCCTCCCATTGTCGTTCCTCCACTTTTCCTCTTCATTCAGTTGCCTGTCTTGTTTGGTGATCCATCTCTGCTGCTGTTCCTGGAACCATGGTCATCTTTACCTCTCTCTAGAATATCCTTTAGTACTCTCTATAAAGTTGGTTTGGTAGTCATAAATTCCTTCAGTTGTTGTTTATCATGTAATTATATTATTTTTCCATCAATTTTGAAAGATAGTTTTGCTGGGTAAATCAATCTGGATTGGAAGTTGTTTTCTTTCAGAGTTTGAAACACTTCACTCCAAACTCTTCTTTACTTGATGGTTTGTGTTGACAAGTCTGCTGTGATTCTGATTGGTTTTCTTTTATAGGTGGTCTGTGCGTTTTTTCTAACAGCTTTTAAGATTCTGTTCTTGTACTGAATTTCTGGGATCTTGATTATTATATGTCTGGTGTACACTTACTTTGGTTATGGCTAGTTGGAGTCCTATATGTCTCACTTATCTACATGTCAGACCCATTTCCCATGTTTGGGAAGTTTTCTTCTATTACTTCTGTGAAAAGCCATTTAATTTCATTTGTGTTGACCCCTGCTTCTTCACCAACACGTGTCACTCTTAAATTATGCTTCTTTGTGTCATCTTGCACCCTTTGAGTTGTTATTTCTTGATTCCATGTTATTTTTAAGAGATCTATTCTTTCACAGTCACTAGCTTCAATCCTGTCTTTAAGGTTTGAAAGTCTACCTTCAGTATCTTTCAAGCAGTTTTGACAGATTTTGATTGAATTTTTAATTTCCTGGTTCTGTTTTTGAATCTGTTTCATGCATTGTAATTCCTTTCTGTATTCATTCAAGGTTTCCAATCATTTTCATATTCTCTTCTGTTTTGTCTATATCTTCTTTAGACCTGTTAAACAATTCTTTCAGTATATTTATGATTTCTCCTTTTGCCAGGAACATTATTTCTGATTTGACTCCTTTTACAATTGCATGAAGTTGTTTTCTTACTTCAGTTGGTATCGTCTCCAGAGATTTCAGGTGTGTGACTTCTGTTTTCTTCCATGACTGTATCTCCCAGACTTATTCTGTGTGGGTTGGATGTCTAAGTTTGCCTTTTGCTCCTTCACCTTAATATTGTCCGGGGTTCCTCCCAACAAGCTGGTTGTGAGGCTCCAGGCACTTCCCATGTAGGCTGTCCCTAGGCAGTGCAGTCGGATGGGACAGGCACCTGGGTTCCTCTTAATCCAGATTTACAGGGAGGTAGCATAGTGTGGAGCAGGCTTCTCCAGAGCTGTGCAGCTACACTGGGGCTTTGCTGATGATCAGGGGTGCATGGAGGTGGGGCTGCTTCTCTTAGCCTATGTGTCTACACTGGGACTCCCGTGATGGTGGCAGACACACAGGGGTGTGTTTGTCTGATTTTGCTAGTGGGTAATGGCTGCATGAAGGAACACAGGGCCTCCAGTGGTGACCTACAGGTGCACAGGGCTTACCTGGCTGTGTGTGCCTGCCCCTGCTGCCTAAGGAAGGAGCCTTCTGGCGGCAGCTCCTTGAAGGTAAAGGCAGATCTTTTGGCTTTCTCTACCCATGCTGAGCACGTGGAGGAAAGGGCCTTCTGGTTGTAGCACCTGGAAGGTAGAGGCAGATCCTCTTCTGGCTCTCTCTTAAGTTCTTAAGGATTTATATATTACTTCTTTAAGACTAATAACATTATCTGCCTGTACTATATTTTATCACCAAAGCTATCACTTGGAAATGGATAGCTATTTTTTTAAAAGGCTAGTGCTTGTGTATATACATGTACAAAGAAATCCTGGCTAGCGGCACTCCCACCAGAAAAAAGCAGAACAAGTAGTAGCAGTAGTAGTAGTAGTAGTAGTAGTAGTAGTAGTAGTAGTAGTAGAAGAAGAAGAAGAAGAAGAAGAAGAAGAAGAAGAAAAGAAGGCTGCTCCTGTCTTAGCAGTGCCCAAAATAGTTAGGTCATGTAACATTCTCAACCAGGTGACAAGAAATTAGTCCTGATAAACTGGGTTGGTGAGAAACCCTCCCAGACTCAATTGGTTCACCTGTAAAAGGAGTATCATGATAGAACTAACAAGGAGGCTTGTGGTTGGGTTTTTAGGACACTGTGTAAACAAAATCCTCAGCATGATGCCCAGAAAGAATTACTCAACAGTTTTGAGCCCATTGGTGTAACCTCAGTAGCAGTGCAGGTTACCAAGATCCACATTAACACGAGCTGCTCTTCTGTCCTGGGGTCCCAGATTTTCTACTCAGGAAGTTTTATGCCTCACTTGAAACATCAAGAATTTGAAAGAGCCTAAATGCTGGTGGAAATCACCTTGAACTTTGGCAAAGCCAAATATACTTAGCAAGGGTTATCACGTCATTACAGTCAGTTTGATTCCTGGATGAATTAGGCTGCATTGATGATGCCTTTTCTGTGCTTGGTTTAAAGTGGATGTCACATCTCAGCAGCCTCTACTGTCTCACATCAGCATGCCACACTTGTCTGATATGTGGACATTTAAGTCTGTAATTCCATTAGTAATTCTGATTCTTCTCATGAAGAGCATCCATAGCATAATGTAACATAACACAGAATAAATCTCTACAAATCTTGTAGTCTTATCGTATTTAAATCATTATTGTAAGCCTCTCATCAAAATATGGCAACACTTTATGACAGAAAATTGATGAATAGAGAGGCAGTGGAATTGCACAGAAATTTATTGTACTGCTTCTACTGAGAGAGAAAGAAGAGGAATACTTGAAAGGAAAGAAGGTAGGAAGGAAAGGGAGGGACTGATGAGAATGTTAGACTAAATACTCAGATCTTGAATAAGTGAAATGCAATTCAATTGTATTTTCAACCAAAACTGTTATAGTAATACAGTAATAATTGTTTCAAATTTCAGATTTTGGAATTAATTAATTTACAATAGTTTGTATTATACCAGAATCTTCACATTGACTTATTTTTCCAGCCCAATTTTTAATATTTTATTTTGATTTCATCTTGTTAAATTGCCCAGACTAGTATCAAGTTTCTGATCCATTTGCCTCAGTCTCTCAGCTATGTGGAATTACGGGCTTACATCCGCCTTCCGAATCAGTTTTGTGTTAAATTATGTATATAAAACATTTAATAAACAACTAAGTTGCAAAATACATTCATTATTTAAATGCCCTTATACTAAAATTT